TGTCTCTGTAAAATCTGTTATTCTAAAGTTTAAAATTAATGGAAATTCTTTGTGTGTCTGTTTGTCATTGAGTTGTTATTATTATTTTTTATTATGATGATGCTAGCAAGCAGTGCTCTATCCTAGCCCTTAAACTTATGGTTTTTAACCATTTCAATTAAATGGTAGTAAACTGACCCATATGCAGTGAATGAACAGAACTAGAAACTATGATGCTAAGTGAAATAAGCCAGTCAAAAATAAAGATAAAGGTCAAATGTTTTCTCTATATGTTGAAGCTAATCCAAAATAAGGGGTAGTGGGATAAAAAAAAAAGAGAGAGAGAGAGAAGAAAGATCAATGGTATAGGGGACTGAAGGGGAGGAAGGTGGGATGAGATGAGAAAAGAACAAAGTAGTGAATCTGACCTAGCTTTCATATGTAAATATACCACATATGTAAATATACCACATATGTAAATATACCACAGTGAATCTCACTGTCATGTATATCCACAGAACACTAATTTTAAAAAATGTAAATAAATAGCAGAAAAGTCAGTATAGTACAGGGAAGGGAACAGGGAGAGGGAGAGGGGAGGTAATGGTGACTGAATTAGAACAAATTATATTCTATGCTTTTAAAATTTGTCAAAATTAATCCTAGTGTATGTATAACTGAAAAGAACCAATAAAAAGAAAAAAAGAATAAATGAGAGAAAAGATTTAAAAATTAGACTATTTTAGGATATAGCTCTAATGTGGAGGGGCATATCAGTAATATAACTTTTAAATTACTTCTCAGATTCTAATTCTTTATAACTGGTAGTTCCTTAATTATTCTAGAGTTGTTTGTCAACTTTATGAATTATAATTCTGTTTGTTTATTTATTATCATGAACCAATAGCTAATGAGTGACCTTATGAATCAGTCATCACTAATTCTGCATGGATTAAGCAATCACTAATTTATCTCATTTGTTTTTACTGTAAATCTGTATTGCCTTTTAAACAGAAACATTATCCTCACTCTAGTGATCATGCTCAAATATTATGTTATGTGTTCTTCAAAGGCCTGCTTCAAAGCTTTCCCTGAGTCTTAACTTAGAACTTCTTTTTCTTTTCTAAATGTCAAAAGCATTATCTTCTAACCTCATTGCTTTCACTTTTCACTTCTTCCTCACCTGATTTTTTTGTGTACCATTTCTCTATATTCTAATAAACTCTAAACATAAATTATACCTAAAAATAACTAMATAGAACATTTCTTTTTCACAGAGGAGATATAAAAATATTGAATAAATAACTTGATGAGAGCCCAAGGAATCCCTGCCCTTTGTGTATACTCGAATACATAATAAATGTTTAAATTACTTGTGATAATTGGCTTTAGTCTGGCAAGTTTTCACCACTTATCTGTTTCAGTTATTCACTATTTTATGTTGAATTTGTGTGAGAAGAAATACACAAACAAATCTTGCTATACAAAATTGCAAATTATGCTCAGAAGASACAAAGAAAATATGTATCTTATTGCATAGTATAAAGCCTATATAAAACTAGAAAATTTATTTACCACTATAACT